ATTTACGGTGAACAATCACCAGGGGTTTGAGCAAAGAAAAAAAAAAGAAAAGAAAAAGTAATTAAATAAAAGTAAAAATAGTAATAGTAAATAGAAGCATATAAAGGGATTATATAAATACTTCAGTTTTTCTAAACTTGGATGTGTGACGTCATCGGAGCTGTCCTTTGAGACATCTGATTGGCGGTCGCATTTCACTGACGTAGAGAGTAGCTACATGGAGGAGCAGCACTCAGTGAATATTAACCAGCAGCTACTTCAATGTTTAAGTAAAAGTTAGGAGACGGGTGGTTAAAAAAAATAGAAATGGCACTGAAAAAATCTGTTTGTTAAAGATAAGAAACTTTTCAGATAAAAATGGCAACAGATTGTAAGTTTATACAAATTAGTATTATAATGCAAGAAGCTTGAGAAAACAAAAAAAATTCTCAGAAGACCATGACTTACAGCTTAAAATTAACGCGTTTTCTTATTTTACAGACAGAATCAGACTGCAGAGCTTCTAAATATCTAGAAATATTGTTTCTTGCATCATCATGTTAATGATAATCTTTTTTTAACCGAGCAAGAGAGAGAAGTAGGGAGAGCTGCAGATTTAAAGGTGAAACAGATTTACTGGGATAATCAACACACAATAAAATATATCTCCAAGTTTACCACAAAGTTTACAAGAAAGAAATCTGCTATGCTATAGTTAAAATGAAGCATATCCATATTTTTCTGGATGGATGGAATTGAAATTGTACTTCTAGGTAAATCTTCTTCTGATATATTGATTTTGGAATCAGATTCGGCTGTTATTTATTTTTTTATACATTAATGTTTTTGGGCCAATATATATATATATATATATATATATATAATGCACTAAAAGGCGTCTCTCTAACTATCAATAAATATAAATATCAGTTATTCTGGTTCTCTTGTTCTCAACAACAGGAAAGCATTCAATAAATGGATGCTTGAGCTCATTTTTGGAAAATAAAAGAATCCTAATGAAAGTGTTCAGGTGGAGTAACTGTAGGTCCATCAGCCCCCACCCTTAGAGCGCCCCCACACTGCAAAAAATGTAAATCTAAATAACTAATTTTTTCTTAAAATAAGTTGATTTTTTCTTGAATTGAGGGGGCAAGTGAGACACTTTGCCAATTTACATTTAAAATAAGAAAAAAAAACTGCATTGTCTTATTTCAAATGCATGTTATCTAATTATCTTGTTCTACGAGTAAAAATAATCATTCCATTGGCAAACGATCTTATTTACCTGCTCAAATTAAGAGTAAATTCCCTTAATATAATAATTTTTTCTTATTTCTAGATCCATTTCTAGTTTTTGCAGTGCACCCTCAGAGCGCCCCCACCAACTTTCATCACTAAGTTACACCCTTGCTTGGATGAGTGAAAATCTGCAGCATGGTGGATCTATTGTTAGATTTTCTACTTTCTCATTAGGTCTGAGGACGCCCTCTGAGTTCTCAGAAGAAAAATGAGTCAAACTGGTTCCTTCTGTTTATTCATAGCAGGAACAGAAACAGGCAGTGCGTCACGCTGCCATCAGCACCAAGGACAGTGACCTGAACTTCTGGACTTTCAGGTTGGTTTAACCTTCAGCCCAAAGCCTGCAGGTGAAGAAGCAGAACCGAACCGAACCGAACCGCAGACAGGGTGGAGATATTCTTCTATTCTCGGTTTGAAAACATTCAGATCATTGATAAGAAGAGACGTTTTAAAAAAACACGCTGAACAGATGAGGAGGAAAAACCAACAAACGCATGAAAACTATTCCTTTCAACATTTGAGGATATTTAAAATAAAAATCAGCATTAAATCCATTTATAAAACTAAAAACCCTTCAGTGTATATTAAAACAAACATTAGGATATTAAATCGGAATTAATCTAAAGTCCAGTTTTATTTCCACAGATAAACATTAACTGGTTTTCTGGAAAACCTCCTGAACTGTTTGGTTTGTGTGAAGATTTGCTTCCTGGCGGTTAAACATAAATCAGGTTGTTTATTCTGGGATGGAAATAATCCACAGACTCTTCATTTGGCCTCAAATTTCCAAACTTTTCCTAAAAGTTTCCAAACTTTTCCTAAAAGTTGGAAACATTTTGGGACGTTTGCCTGTTTATCCGAGCCGTGACGTCACGCCGCTCACCCTGCAGCTGCAGCCGGTCCAGGAGTCCCGCTGCTCGGATCCGGTCCGGTCCAGACTCCACTCCATCCCTGGACTGAAACACGCGGAAAGGTCACTTCGCGCCGCGCGTCCACCGACGCACGCACTGTGCACGCGCTCTCACCTGTCCCTTGGAGAAAGGGGCTCCGATGATCCCTGCTGAGAGCTGCTGAGGATGAGGAGGATGGTGAAGGCTCCGCTTCAAGAGCTGCTGCAGCGTGCGCGCGCTCTGCATGCTGACACACGGATGGTTGGAGCGGAACCCCCGCGAGCCGCTCATAAACCCTGCGTGACGTCACAGGCGGACAGGTGGAGACACCGCGGCGTCACTGATCTGGTCTGACCTCAAACCAGCAGTTTAAAAACGACCAAATCAAACCTTTTTATTCACATTTTCCTTTATATTGATTTTTAAAACAAACAAACCCATATTTTCCTGTATGAAAGTTGGTGAAACTAAAATTAAAATACTTTTTATCAGAACAGAAATAAAAGGTGAAACTGTTTGACTGGATGTTTTTAAATCAGCAGGACTTCAGAGGATCATCAGCTTCAGTTTGGACCAAAAAACCTTGATATGCAGGAGGGCCAAACCACCCCTTTAATAAAGTGATATAATAACTTCTGAATATTATGAGGCAAACAGGTCGTTTTATTAAGATGAAAGCTTCTATAGTTATGAACTAACTCAGGGGCGTTGCTAGGCACAAAGCTTTACTGGGGCACTGGCCCCCTACTGCATATGCCCCTCCTTCCATACCCAAATACAGACAAGCACACTGCCCCACCCTGATAAATTCCTACCAAAATTAACAGTTGAGATATTGAGTATAAGAGCATATTTGTTTTAACAAACATGAACATTTTCAACATTGCTGCTATAAAAAATAAGATATTACCAACTTTAAAAATAAAAAGTTTCCTTATACACGTTCTGAAGTAATCATTAATTCCTAAGTTTCAGAGTTTTAGTTCAGGGGAAAGTTTAACTCAACCTGAACGAAGTTTTTCTCTTATTTATTGAGCATTAAAGTGTACCTCCTATTTTTTACTTTTGCAAAGCGGTCAATCACTAGACTGTGACTCAGCTTAGAAAGTTCTTCCTTTTCAACTGATAAAATAGCAAGATGGTGGAGCCTATCTTGTCCCATTGTGCACCTCAGCCAAGTGTGGATCCTTCTCATCACACTGAATGACCTTTCAC